GTTTAAGTATATGGTTTCACTGAGTAACTCCTATTTCATTGTACTTGAAACAAAATCTAAGTGTTTGCTGTCTGCATTAATAAAAGTTGTTACCAGCACAAAGATGCTCTACTAATGTGATGAGTTAAAAATATTAATAGTTTATATAGATACTTCATACTATTCTTTACTGCAACTTCTATTTTCCTTTTATTAAGCAGATGAGCAGCAAGAAACCATAATAGAAGAAACACCAGCATGAAATGAGTTTAAATTGTTTTATTGAGTAGACTTCATTTGTGGAAACAGAGGAGTCCATGAAAACCAATTTAATGGTCAAAAAAACTTTAAGTTCTAATACTTCAATCAATTCCTATGCTTTCTTTCTTGGGATGAACACAAATAGGTTTCTAAATTTTATCAAAAGTGAGTTGAGCTGGGCATGGTGGCACATGCCTTTAATCCCAGCACTGGGGGGCGGGGAGGTGCAGAGGCAGGCAGATCTCTGTGAGTTCAAGGCCAGCCTGGTCTACATAGTGAGTTCCAGGACAGCTGGAGCTACAGGGAGACCCTATCTCAAAAAAAAAAAAAAAAAAAAAAAAGTGAGTTGAGGCCATGCTGTATATTTGTCATTCTGGTTAGGAAATTTTGCACCATTATTTTTTCAAGCTTTTTTTTTTTAAAAAAAAAAACCTATTATGGTTTTACAGTTTAAATGTGATAAAGAATATATTTATGTAATTCATTGAGCTACTGAAAATAATATAGCTTTAGTAGTTTTGAACTAGATTTTTGTGAAGCTTTACCTTTAGAATGATTCACAATGTTACTAATAATCATGTCCTGGTCTTTGGACCTTTAGAGGCAATTTAAATACCTGTTGCCACATCTCTTATTTTGTAAGATAAATCTTTTATATCTGAACATAGCTCTTCTGTTATAATAAATATTCATAATACTGTGATGATGTTAATGATAGTAGAAGTCTGTGGGAAAGAACTTTGAATGAGTTCAAATTCCCAGCTATTTCAGGCTGTCAAGCTAACCCTTACTTGACATTCAATTTAAATAATTTACCTGGTTACTGGTATTCTTTGTCCTTTGCTTGGCCGTCACTGATATAATGATGGTGACTGTTATACTAGCCTTTGAGTACTTTTTTATTTGTTTGTAAGGCAATAAGCCATTTTATTGAACCACTTTTCAGAATAAACTTTGCAGCCTATTACATGCCCATTTTGCAACTGTTAAACATGACATGAACATAGTTTACATAGCTTCCCAAGGTCATATTGCTACGAAGAATCTCCTGTAATGTGTATTGTTTCATTATTGAACTATAAGTACTCAAACCAAGCAGTTGGGCCTATTAGCTGCTTATTTTTGGAGGTATGATATTAGAATTTTAATTTAACTTTGTTCCTTGACATTTTGATTGAGGAGATAAGGCCCTTAATATTTAGAGTTACTATTGTGAAGTGTATGTGTTGATTGCTGTCATTTTGTGATGTCAGTTTTCTTGATCATACTTTGCTCACCATTTAGCTTTGTGTCATTTTTTTTTTCCTGTAGCCTATTGAGTATAGTTATCTTCCTCTTCTGTCTGATGTAGTCCTTCTGGTATGCCCTAAGACTAGTTTGATGGACATGAATTACTTTAGGTTGTTTGTACATTGACCCATTTTTCTTCTTCCTTCAATTATGGAAGATAGTTTTGCTGGGTATAGTAGTCTGGCTTGGCATCTGTGATCTTTTAGAATTTGAAGCATATTGCTCCCGGTTCTGGCTTTTAGTTTCCATTAAAAAGTCAGCTGTTATTCTGATGGGCTTGCCTTTATATGTGACAAGTGGCTTCTCTCTTGCAGCTTTAAATACCAGTTTATTCTGTATATTTAATGTGTTCTATATTATGGATTGCAGAGTTTCTTTTCTGGCCTTATAAATTTGGTGCTGTGTATTCTTCTTGAATCTGTATGGGCATCTCTTTCACTAAATTTAGGAAATTTTCCTATATGATTTTATTGAAGATATGCTCTTAAACCTTTGACCTGGAAGTCTTCTCCTTCTATACCCATAGTTCAAAGATTTGGTCTTTTCATATGTCCCAAAATTCTTGAATATGCAGTTCTTCTGTTTTTCTTAAACATCATTCTGTGATTGAATGATCCAGTTCCTCTATCTTGTGTTTAAGCCTCGATACTCTGTCTTCTATATAATGCATTATGTTGGTTAGGCTTTACCCCGAGGTTTAAAGTTGACTTAATTAAAGTTTTCAATTCTAGCTTCAATTCAATTTGGGTTTGCTTCATTATTTCTCTTTATTGACTTCAATTTTTTTATCCTGAATTGTCTTCATTACTTCACTTACCCGTTTGTGTGTCTTTTATTAATCTTCAATGAAGAGTTTGTTTCTGGCTATATTTATTCATTTTATTTATTCACTTCATGTCTTCTTTGAACTTCTTGAACTCTGAACAGATTTATAGTTGTTCCCAACCACCACTACTATAGTTCTGATAATTTTTTGCAGGGAGGGGACCATATTATCTTTGTTTTGCCTCCTGCTTTTGTTTCTGCCTTAGAACCTGGGCATATAGAGTTAGGTTGCTTGTTGTGTTTTTATTTTTATTTTTTTGAGACAGGAGTCTCCCTGTTTCCCCAACTGACTTGGAACTTATTATATAGACCAGTCTGGCCTTGATCTCACAGAGCTCCACTTACCTCTTCCTCTTGGGTGCTGGGATTAAAGGCATGCCCCACATTGCCTGGTTGGTTGTATCGTTTGGGGGGGGGTCTTTTTGAGACAGTGTCTCCCTGTAACCCCAGCTGTCCTGGATTCACTATGGAGACTAGGCTGGCTTTGAACTCACAGAGATCTGCCTGCCTCTGCCTCTCGAGTGCTGGGATTGAAGGTATGCACCACCACGCCCCGCCTGGTTGTATCTTTTTTTAAAAAAATATTATATATATATAACTGTACATATACACCACTGTACATACATATACACCACTGTACATACATACTTGTACCCCTCGACATGAACATGTATACACACACATACACTACATAAACACTAAAAATCTTGTTTTTTTTTATGTACACGAGTGTGTTGTCTGCATGTATGTAAGTGCACCTATGTCATGCAATGCCCACAGAAGTGCAGTTTCATCCATTGGAGCTTGTTTTCAACAGCTTGTAGAAAATGGTTGTACTGCACCTGATCTGGGAAAATTATGACTTTTCAAACTCATGGTGTGACAGCTCATCTTCAGCTTAAACTTGATTGAATTTAAAATCACTATGGTATCACATTTTTGAGTGTGTCTATGAGGTTATAGACAGGTTTGGCTAAAGAGAAAAGACTCTCTTTGACTGTGGGTAGCATCATCCTATGTGCCGGAGGGCCAGGTTGAATACAAATGAGAAAGCTTGCTGAGCACCAACATTTCATGAGTTTCTGCTTCCTGACTGTGGCTGTGTGTGACCAGCTGCTCTGCACTCCTGATGCCACAAATTCCTGCTATGATGGACTGTGACCTCTAAATCTGAGACAAACTAATTCCTGCCTTCTGTAAGATGTTTTTTTCAGGTGTTTTGTCATAATACAAAAGAGTAATAAACACAGGTGGCTTCTTAGAGTTTTATTTTTCTTCCTATACCAAATATCACACACGTGTACACACATGGTTAAAATCTGGAAAAGTAATATTGAAGTATTGCCATTCACTTCAGTTGAGTTTTTCAAAATTCAATATATGAATCACAGTTTCTTATAATTACAAAACAGCTGGCATGAAAATGAAGTTGAGGGGGGAATATTTAAAAAGGTAATTGAAACTGAGGATCAGGTGAAGGATGCTGATTAGTGTTGTGTATTAACTGGATATGATGCAAACTAAACATTTCTGAATAGAGAACAATGAAGCTTATCAAAAAAAATTGATGGGGTAGGGAAAAGAAGAAACCTGGAGTTTGGATCAGGTTTATTTTCCATATACCAAATGTAATTTGATTTTATTACAAGAAATCACACTGATCAGCATATGCTCCGTCAGGAACTGGGAGCCCTAACCTTATCTCACAAACTTCTGTGACAGCATCCCAGACGCTGTTTCTCATGGATTTTCTGACACAGCTTAAAGATGGTCTATTGATGTGCATTTATTTTATATGAATCTGAATTTTGAAATACTGTGTCACAGAGAAGCAGATGTACTCCATTCTGATCTTGATATGAGATATCAGGGCTCTAATTCAACTCATTTTTCAGAGTGGGACAGTCTCAGTGCAGAGGCCCTTCATCAGTTATCCAACACTGTTCAGAGAACTGTTTTTATTTTTTTATTATAAATTAGACTTTACTGAAACTAATGTATTATGGAGGTGAGTGTAAAAGTCCCATTAATATTTCACATAGAGCTTGGACTTAGAAGAATCTGCTTGATTGTTTTATGACAGGACTTGTCATAATATATAACCCATTTAAGAATATTTGTGCATTGCATCACTGATATTGATCACATTTAGGTAAGTTGATCAATTATATCTAGTAATCTGTCATCTCGGTGCATATTTCTCTTATGAGTTAATAGAATAAAATTTTGTTTTCTTTTTTAGGCTTTCTAGTGTTTTCTTTTCCAGCATTTAATTGTTTATTAAATCTAAACAGCTAAGCATATTCTTTGTCCTAAGAAGTGTGGAATTAAGGTTTTTTACTTTATATTTAATTATTTCCAATAACTATGTTTTTTTAATATGTGTTTGAAATTTGGAAGCCAAAAAAATCTCTTTGGAGATAGGTAGGGTATACTGCTGAAATATTTTAGCATCATTATCTTCTATTTTGATTTAGGGATATCATATATTATGTTGGATGTGTTTCTTCAGTGAGAAGCATAGTACAAGCTTTGTTACTTAATTATCTTTTGATTCATTCGATATTAATGAATTTGAATCGAAGAACTAATTTTAAGAAAGGAAATAGTAGTTTTAGAAATTAATATTGTTGGTTTTTTTGCAGCAAGGCTAGAAAAGAACTTCTTAAAACTCAGAAAGAACGTGATTTTCATCGAATGCATCATAAACGAATAGTACAAGAAAAAAACAAATTGATTAATGACCTCAAAGGGTAAGTTGAATATATTTGCTGGTACATTTATTAAAGAGTTATTTTAGTCATTGATAGGAATTTGACTATCATAAGAGTATTCAAATAAAGCTGTTCATTTAAGGTTACTGGACATTTAGTATGTACTATATGTTATCCTACATTTTGGAAGCACAGGAAGTTCGGGTCCTGCTAAGAAGCAATCGTACTCTTTGGATGTACAATGGAAGAGGATTTAAACAGAAATATAACAAAATATACTCCATTTTCTGCTGTCTCAGCCAAGACATTGTCGTCCCAAGAAGACTGACATTCAAGAGGGGTTTCAAGGTTGTGTTTTCAGTAGAATTGAATTCTAAACACTAAACAAAATGATGAAGTTGGGCCAACAGGCTGACTTGGAACATAGTATACCCTGTGCAATGGCACAGCCATGAAGGAACTTGGAGTGTTTACTGGATTTTAATCACAGAAAACAAAGTAAAGATGTGGCTTTGCAGGGTAGGACACATATCCTAAATTACTTTTGATTTATGATGACAATTTTAAAAACTATTTTGGAGGCATTTACTTTCTTCTTTTCCTTAACTTCCATAACTACTTTCCCCCTCAAACTAAGAAATCTATTTTATAACCCTTAACTAAATTTCTCTTTTACTTGCTCTAAGACAATTATACCCAATATAGTTTTCTGATTGACATAAATTTTCTATGTTTGTGTTATCTAGGATAGGCACTAGCTATTTATATTATGTCACACTTCAATAGGTGAGTATATTTAAAGGGAATGCTACTTGTATTACTGACTTTCCTCATTGTTGTTACAAAATATCTAACAAGGAGCAACTTGGGGAAGAAAGGCCATATTCCGGCTTGAGGTTCAAGGGGATCAGTTCCATTATGGCAGGGAAGCCTTGATGGCAGGAGTGGAATGCTGGCTGGTTCCATTGCATCTGGAACAGAAGCACAGTGTCCAGGAATTAATGCCAGGCTATAAAGCCTCAAAGCTTGCTCCCAGTGACTCATTTTCTCCAGTAAGGCTGTACCTACTAAAGGATCCACAACCCTCCAAAACAATGCCAACATCTGAGTTTCAAGTGTTCAAATATGTGAAACTATGAGGAACATTTTACATTCAGATAATAAGATTCTGCCTTTGTGTCCCATGGGCTCATGGCCATTTTGTGCTGCAAACTGGTCATTCAAACTATCAAAGCAGACAATAGTTCCAACATTGTTTAAAATTCCACTGTTTCTTTTGAGACTTAAAGCAATCTCTTTACTCTGAACCTGCATAAAATCAAAACACAAGTTACATCTTTTCAATGTATAATGACACAGAAAAGATATTCCCATTCCAATAGGGAAGAATGGGGACATAACAAGGAATGATCAGACCAAATCAAGGACTGAAACTCAATAGGGCAAACATTTTCCAGCTACATATTTGGCAGTTGGAGCTTGTAATGAAATTGCCTGGGCTCCAAGAGCTTGAGTAGCACCACCCCTTGAGTTCTGCCTCCTGCAGTATACAGATATTATCCCTTGTGCTTGCTTGCTCGTATGCCTGTAGTTTTCTTCAGTGACTATCACATAGTTCTGGCATCTCCAATACCTTAGGATTTCCACTAGAATGCAGGCTTTACCATATTTTCATTCTGTCTATCTATCTCTCTATCTATCATCTATCTATGTATCTATGTATATCTATCTATCTATCTATCTATCTATCTATCTATCTATCTATCTATCTATCTATCTATCATCATCT